AATATAAACTAAAACTAATTTTATGTTTCACATTTTTTCGCAGATGTGGTGCTATATATGACATATTTGTTGAGGGAAACAAATATAACCCAATAAATAGTAAAAGGACTCAAAGACTCAAGAGTTAAGATCCCCTTTTACCTTGTCAACATATTGCTGAATTGTAACGAAACCCATTGTTTACACCTAAAATAAACCAATAGGGTAAGGCCACGTGTCAAGGTAAAGCCCAATTATCAAGAAAATTAATAGGCTGGATTTGGGCTAGGCTGGCTTACAATTTAACGGCCCAAACGGATTTTCAAGGGGGTTGGATCTTAGGTGGCAGAAGATAAGATTGGATTTGATAGTTTGAATTTGATTTAAAATGGGAAATTGAGGATTTTTAGGTAGTTATCTTTAAGGTTGTTGGAGATAAAGTTAAATAAAAATCGGATAACTATTAAATAACTGCCAGACCTGCAATCCCATTACCAGATCATGGAGGAACAGTGCCGAAAATGGAGGAACAGTACCAAAGATCATGGAGAAGATCATGGAGGAGGTTACCAGCATCGAAGGGAACAAAAACAAAAAGAAGAGAACAGTTCAAGGCCTGACCAACACACACAGACTGCCTAGAGCATGTTTTTCAGCTTTCAGACTGCATTTTCCAGATTTCAGCAATAGTTTCTAGATTTCCCAGATTTTCCAGATTAGTTCATAGCCTTAGCCTAGGTTTGTTCATCTTTGTTCATATTTCCTTTCGCAAATTCCAGTTTAGATTTATTTTTAAGTATTTGGAAGCAACTTAGCCTTCAAAACAGGTCTACCATTTTGATTCGGTTAGTTCTTCTTCTTTTTATGGATTTAATTATGTTATTCGTTCATGTAAATAGGTTGAATATTTTCTACCTTTGTTCTTTTGTTTCTGCACAATATTCAGACATTCAGTTTATTTAATTTCAATTTCCAGATTTGATTTTATAAGTTTTCAGACTTTAATCATTTCATAGTTTTTTCTTTAGTTTTAGTTTATTATTATGAGCTGCGTAGTTGAAATCATTGTCTGTTATTTTACTTTTTCTGTTGTCTGCAAATTTAATCTTCATGGCATGTTATTTTCTGTTCTTTACTTTATGTTAGTTTAATTGCTTTAGAATATTGCATTTATTTTAGGATTTGTAGCTTTTATTACATTTGTTTGGTTGTGAAGTCCTTGAGGTTTCCAAGGCAATTAGTAACCCATTTTGCAGAACTCTACCCTCTGTTTTGCAACATCATCTGGGGCGCAATTCATTTCACAGACGTTCTTTCCAACTATCCTATTGGAGGTCGACCGCTGGAAAGGAGAAGGGTCATCTGGAAAATCCTATTTTCTTGTTTTTAGACAAAGCAAGTGGCACGCCTAATAACCAAACTCACATGGTAAAGGCCGGCTGAGGATTTTTGGAGAAACACCCATATTTTTCTTCTTGAATGCAATCTCATAAATCTAAACAAACAAATTAAAAAAAAAAAAAATTCTATTAGAATCTCCATAATTACACTTTTGAAGAAATAAGAAAAAATTTTCAATTTGAGCAAAATAATTAAATATAAGAAATAAAAGAGAATGAAATCCATATCTATTTGTTAAAATTTTAGAAAATGGAAAACACAGCCAATGGAATCTCATTTAGGCACTGTAAATCTCTTATTTAAAGGAAATACTGTATATTACCCTTGAAAAAAGCTTGTTGGGTATGTACATAAAAAGGCATAGTAAGCATTTGATATGCATCAATGACCCGAGCAGAATTTTAAGCAGCATGGTGTAGGCTCTTTTTTTCTAACAAAGATGATGGTGAGAAATCAAATTCAAATTATTCACTTATTATATATACTTATTAGTAATTTCATCCCAAAAGTATATTTCAAAGATTATGTACTTAAAGTCTTAAATTGACCTCAGATTTTAAATGCACAAAATCAAGATGCAGTTTCTTCTGCCAAACCAACCTTCGTAGTAATTTGCAAGTCATAAATTGACCTCAAATTTTGAATTAAAAAAACAGCTCGTTTGATTAAAGAAAAAAAGCCTCAGCATAATCTCATATTACACCCTTCAATATGCATAATATAGAAAATAAGTCAAGAAAAATACATACGTTATACAAAAGCTGAATTGGCAATCAGCAGAATTGGTAATCAGCATGATCAACCCAACAGAGGGAGGTCCAAGTATCCAAGATGCATTTTAGCTTGTAAAAACCCTAAGAATTTACAATAGGAAATGGTAGCAAAACAGTAAATATTGATTAATTATGGCATCAAGTTAAAATATAATGACCTTTTTGGTGGCAACTAGCTCTGCCTCTAATGCATCAATATAATGAATAGCAGCATTCAACAACTTAATGGATGAGTGCGTAAAGTTCTCTCCATAAGGTATGGATTTCGCTTTTAGTTTTATAAGACAGTCCACAATAGTCTTTAAAGATCCCTGAATAATACACATAGGAGGATAAAGAAAAGGGTTAAAAAACTCTCAGTGTAACAGACAGGGAAGTAGCGGGATGACAGCTTAATAAATGTATATGAGTACTTGAAAAGAAAGGAAAGCAACAAAGTAAACTATAATTAATGGATGAGATATGATCACCTTATATTTTCTAAGGTATTCAAAATCACGAGTTAAACATAGTGCTTTTTTCATGTCGGAAAGCAGTGAACAATTTTTGCATGTTCAAGGAGTCCTAGTTCATTAAAAAAGATGGATACCTTCTTTAGGTCAGAAATTTCAAATTAGACCGGTAAATATGCTCTTTTTTTAGACCAACTTCAATATACACAATGTAGGAAATATGGCATGAAAAATACATACACCATACAAAAGCTGATTTGGGGTTGGATTTTAGTAATTCCTTGTGGAGCACAATGGGTTAAAAAGGCTATAGTTGGCTTTTGGTTGGGAGAAGCACATGTACATTTTAATTGAGCATGCTGTTGCTGTCATACAATGCAATTAAAACGATCATGGAAAGGTATAACAACGGATGTTAAGACTGCAACAGAGAGCAACTAAAGACCAACAGAATCATCAATGCTTATAAATCAAGGAATACAAGATAAACCCATTAACAAGAATATTTAGCAAAAATACAATAAAATGAGCAGAAATATCACAAAAATGATCCATTTAACAACAGATAATAAATTCCAAGAAACCCACGATTCATTTGATCCCAAATTACCAACAAATATGGAGGAACAGTAGAAGCATGATGAATAGATATGAAGTGGGTAAAAAAAGCTATGATGATTTCTTCAAGAAACGGAAAAATTGCCTGAGACGAGAATCGGAGGCCAAAGGTTGAATTGAGAAGTTAATATAATCAGAGAATTTATCAACATCGTCCGCGTAAAATTGGGGACCCCGTCGATCGTCGATTAGAAATGCCAAAAACCAAATAAAAAATTGATGGATTTGAAGAAAACTGATGGAATTGAGTAAAACCAAGATGAAGGTTTGTGATCAGGGATTTAGGGTGGATGAAAATTTAAAATTCGAAATGAAAGGCGAGATTAAAGGGCAAATACTGCTGGCAAACAAGTTGGATTGGCTGGGTTGGGATCAGGTGACGTCGGATCTCACCTTTTTTTTTATTGGATCATTTTTTGCGTTGTATTAAAGGGATAGGGACATATCCTTCCCCACGTGGGTTTTGAAATGTTTCGGATGGACTCAAATTTTAAAAGTTTAAAATTAAAATTAAAATTTTTGTATTTATATATAGTAAAATTTAATATTAATTAATTATTTAATTAAAAAACTTTATTAAACATTAATTTTCATTCTAATTTCAAGAAAAAAAATGAAAAATGTTTTAATTATATAGATAGAACTAAAATATATGTCAAATATATAATATCTATTTAATATTTAGAATTTAAAATTTAATAAAGATACTCATTTTTATTAAAAGAAGAAGCACAAAAAATTAGAGTTCAAAAGAATTGAAAATATTTTAAAACAACTATAAGAAGAAATTGAATCATGATTTATTTTTATTAATTAAGAATATATTATTAATTAAGAACGAATTAGTAATTTAGAACAAATTAACAATTAAGAATAAACTTTGATGCTCTTGATGTTCTTGATGTTCTTGTAATCGTGCTTTTAGTAGTGATGAAAGTACCTCAACCACTGACTTTTTATTTTCAATAGATATTTTTGTTTTCTATTTTTTTTTAAAAGATCTTTTAGACAATATCATATGGCACAACTTATTATGTGTCATCTAATCTGATTGTTTAGGCAAGTGCTACCAAAGAAAATGATTAAAGAGCTTATGATGAAGAAGGAGAGAGCAAGAGTAGAGAAGAGGAAAAGTTGAGAGAAAGCGAAATTGACAGGAGGTTAAGGTTTGGGTATTTTATTTATTTATTTATTTTTAGGATTAGGAATTAAAAATTTAAAATTAATTTTCAAATAATCTAATAAAAAATTAATAAAAAAGGTTCGGGTCATTCTGGTGACCCAACTCACTTGTGATTTAATTCATTTAAATTCAGATAATTTCAGTCTGAATTATTTTAGATTTTAAATTAATATATAAGACCCATCACTCGACCTATAATGAATGGGTTGTGTCGGATTTTTGGATTAGATCCAATTTTGATAAGTCTAAAGGCAAAGGAAAAGAATAGAAATAAAAAATGGATTTCTTAGCATAGACGAGAGAGGTACAATTAAAATTAATGGAGA